ATTTCCAATACCACCATAGACACTGAGCAGGTTACTTAAATTTGTCTGAGTCAAATACGTATTTAAAGTCAATTGTATATTATGTACTGGGCTGTGTGAGGAAGATACAGTAGTGAATAACAAATATTCCTTGCTCTCAAAGGAAGCACACAGTATGCCCTTAATAAGTGTCAGTCTCTCTTCAGCACTTTAGGATCCCTGGGACTGGTTGATGTGGGTAAGAAGGAATCATGGGGAAGTTCAACCCTCACTGAAACTCTTCAGGAGCCAATGGAATCCAAATTTTTTTCTTTGCTTTGTCTCGTCCCTTTTTAAGAATGGTGACAACCCCAAACTAGCTTCTCTCCCTAGCCGTAAAGCAAGTTTAAATTCCTGTAGTGCCAGCCAGACAATCAAGATTGGAATCATAAAGAGTGTCATGTCACAGCTATGCCTCCTCTCTCCACTCTTCCAAAGACGTGCAGAAACTTGTCAGCCAAGAATCAGCAGCCAAGATCACTGCCTAGCTCTTTTTGGGGGTATGCTAACCATACATTAGCTCTCTCAGGGATGGGTGGAGAGCCAAGACACATACCCAGCCATCTCTTAGCAATTCACATGGTAAAACATTGTGAACTAGGCAAGGTTTGTCCTCAGAGTCTCCGGCTGACTCTTTCTCTATCTGTTCCTTTTCTCATAATATCCTCATCTACACTCTGCCAAGCATGCCTCCTCCCATATTAAAACTTGCCTTCCAATCATCAACTGTCCTTCACTGATAAGTGAACACGAATCAGTGTAACAGGTCACCTCATAAGTATTTACACGTTAAATTTGTCTCTCCATGTAAAATGGAAGGCTTTATCCCAGCTGAAGGATGTTTTTGAACACCAGCAAGATATTTGGGGTGTCCATAAGAGCAGAGACCCTTTCCAAGGTCACTGAAGAATCACACCATGGGAGTGGCTGAAGAAGTCTTGGTTATGATGAAGTCAGAGTCAGACTAGATCAGGCCTTAATTATAGCATACAATATCTGTAAGGAAGGGGTAAGCAGCCCCTAAAGGAAAATAAATTCTGACGTAAACAATATTTGTCGTCAGTGCTCTCACCTCTCCCACTTCTCTTCGAAAGATCAGATCTCCCTGATTTGGAGCCTAGCACCTCATAAGCCCTCCTTGGGGTAACCAGGGCCACCCAATTATTTTTAAAGATTGGCCCTGAGCTAACATCTGTTGCCAAACTTTTGTTTTCTTCTTCCCAAAGCCCCCCAGTACGTGGTTGTATTTTCTAGTTGTAGGTGCTTCTAGTTCTGCTATGTGGGACGCCGCCTCATCATGGCCTGATGAGTGGTGCTAGGTCTGCACCCACGATCTGAACCGGCAATGCCCTGGGCCACCGAAGCAGAGAGTAAGAACTTAACCACTTGGCCACGGGACCGGTCCCTCCTTTTCCTTTCCGTGAACCATTCTATCAATGTGCTTTCCACTGCCAGGTCACATGAAACTATCATTTGATCATTATTGTTGACAGGATTCTGAGATTTGACATGAAGAGTGTATCTTAAATGAAACAGTAAGCTATTTGGTGATGAAGCCTATACGATTAAGAAGCTGTAAGTAATCCTCAAGTCAGTCTGTAAGTATTCTCAGTACTTGCTAATGGTTGGAATTGGGCCTTCATGGGGATACAGACGATAGACATGGCCTCTGGCCTCAGGGAGTTTGTAATCAAGCAGGATAGGATGGGGTACCTTAGATGCCAAGCACTTGCATCCACCGCTTTAAATAATGTTATTTAATCATGGTAGGTACTATCATAGGACTTTAAGGAACCAAGGCTCAGAAAAGTAAGCAATTTTCCCAGGGTTCAATGTAAGTAGTGAGTAGTGGAGTCAGAATCTGAATTCAGATCTGGTCTTGCTCTGAAGCTTATGTTCTTTCCAGCATTCCAGACTGTTATGGAAACAGAAGGCAAGAAAATAGACGCAGAAGAGAGCGGTGGAATGCTGGGTGGGACTGACATGGCAGGCTATGGGAGTGTAGAAATGGGAACAAGCCCAGTGCCCTGGAGGGGTAAGAGGAAACTATTTAGGAGATCTGGGAAGTGGCACTCCAGTAAGGTCAGACGCCACGGAGGACAACTTATTTATTCGATAGTAGCTGGAACAAGAGAGGTCTTTCTAGGTAGAGTGACCAGGTTAAGGAAAGGCTTGGGAATAGGAATAAAAAAGTGCCGGAGAACAAAAGGGGGAGACTTGATTAAGGGAGTGAAAATTATTGCTTGTGGGCCACCTTCTCTTTTACCTCATGTTGCTTCAGCTGAGGGAAGGAGTGCCAACACAGGAGAGGGTGTCCCTCTAAGGGACAGGAGCTCAGCAAACCCGGCCTTCCCCACAGTCTTACCTGAAGCCGCTGCCTCAGAGGAGGATGTTCAAGGTCCCAAGGCAAGGGCCCTTTTCTCAGAAGTCCCTGATGACGCAGGTTGCCAGCTTCCAGGGAGGAAGAGCGAGGGAGCCAGGTGGTTCTCCCTTCCCTTTTTGGAATCCTGGCCAGTTTCAATTTACATAACACAGCTTAATCCACAGAAACAGGAGGTGGGAGGCAGGTTCTTTCTCTTTTTCTCCTCTCCAAGACACAGAAACCTTTATTTTCTCCCTATACCACAAACCGGTGCTGTTAAATAATATTGGATAATTGCACCTGTCGTCCTCCCCATATTGTGCTGAGGAAAAATAATTGCTGGTTTTCTGCTTTGCAGTTTAGCTGTGACTCCGTCATTTGACTCAGAGCATGTCATTTTCTCCCATTTTAGACTGTGTACAGTCAAACTGTGTAAAAGGACTCACAGATAGCGGCCCTGCGTGTGTGAGTGGGCGCGGGCCTCATTCAGCAATGATTTCTAATTTATACAGCATTGAAAATCCACAGCTATAAATAAACAGTTCTGACTGGCTTTGCCGCCTACTCAAATGCTTTATTTAAAAAAAAAAAAGGAACCACCAACTGCATGAGGAAGGAAAACAATGTCTGGATGTGGACCCTGGTTTCTGACACCTGGGCCTGGGAGGAGGGATGCCCAGATTGGGATGGGTTCAGTGCTCAGCCAGGTGGCCTTCTGGGGGGCTTGGCTTCATCACTCCCCCCTCAGCCCCCTCACGCTCCCCACGTGCAGGCACAACGTGTTTGGGGATTACAGTATGTGAAACGGACTTCCTGTTATGACAAGTATTGCAAGTGAGTAGGTGCAGAGAAGCTGAAAATAGCTTGAGAAATGTATGACTCTTTGGGGGGAGAGGATGGGGCTGATGTATTGTTCAGGCAAACAAGTTAAGTCTTCTCCCCAAATTCTAAGTTGGTGTTACATGTGCGCTAGCACCTCTAGAACATGAGCACGGGTATGGACCAGTCCGTGAGGCAGTGGTGTCACTCCTCCCCCTGCCTGTATGGGGAGAGTTTCTGCCAAGTTGGGGTCCCCTGACCACCTTCTTCTGTCCAGCCTCGCAGATGTACATAGATTTTTGCTTTTTTTAAAAATAAAGGCTTGCAGGTAGTCAATTACTGCTTTGCTCTATAATAAAGAGGAAGGAAGGTGGGCTTGTAAATCGACCACCCGCGTGACCTTGGACCAGTCATTTCCCTCCTTTGACCCCAGCAGTGTGCTGGAGCCAGCTGGTACAGGCTCGCAGGGACCAAGTGGTTGAGCAGAGCTCTGCCCAACCCTGCATTCATCGGCATGTTGGTCGCTTGAAGAAAGCCATGTTGGAGCATTTACACCATGGAAATGGGCAAACGCTGTAAATCAGGGCCTTAATATTGTCTTTTTTTCCAGAGAGTTGGTTTTAAAATATTTACCAGCACGTCAATAGCAGAAACTCGGTTTGCTCATTTTTCAAATGAGGACATAATACATTTTCTACTTCCAAGATTTTTGTGAGGATAAAGTGAGATCATGGAGGTGAGCGTGGTTGTAAATTACATGACGCTATACAAATATTATCGCTGGTTTTCTCATCACTTGGTTTGTATTGTTTTATAACTATTAAGGGCCTAACCCAGCCTTATGTAGACACAAGTACCATATACCTTTTAATGAATGTTTATCAGTGTTTATTACAGGTGTTTTGCTGCTTCTCCTTTCTTAAGCTTCAGCCACACCAAGGAAGTGCGTGTGTGCGCAATGAGAAGTGGTTCTGAGGGATTTCTGGTGTTGGAATAGGTATCGCACCGTGGCCAGTCATGCAGCATCAAGGTTTAATTTGGTCCCAGGGACAGTGAAGCCACAAATAGAAATCTGCAGGCTCATCCCAGCCAAGAGCTTACTATGACCCTCGGAAGTATGCAGCCCAAGTCATCTTTGGGGTGTGGAAAATTTGGGTGACCCCCTGTGGGCTTCATATTTGGGGAATTTCCACTGTGACACCTGCTCCTGGGCTCCCTCTAAGACCAGGTGCTCAGAGCAGTCAAGAAGCAGCAGGTATAGGACAGAAGTGGTGTTCCCAGCTCAACCCACACAAACTTAGGCTCATATTTATATAACAGCACAAAAGGGGCAGAGAAGGAGCAAGTTTCTTGGTGTTTGTCCTAGTCCTCCCTTGGACCACCTGTCCTGTTGGGATATTCTGCCCTCCTCTCTAATACTTTGAGATTGCTCTTGATGTCCATTTTACCAAAATTTCCCCTGTATAAAGCTAGGTTGGGAAGCCCAAGTACAATGTACTCCAGTGCCCACATCCCAGCCCACACAGGCCTGGTGACACACCCATAGACTTGAACATGTTTACCCACCACTAGACATTTGTCATTTGTGTTCTTTACAAAATGTGCCTGTAAATAAAGACCTGGAAAAGTCCACTAGAAAAATCAAAGCAGGGTTCACGAATGTGCTTACTAATCACCTGACAGTCAGCTTTGCTAAGCCAGAAACTGGCCCAGCAAAGTACTTCGTACCAAGGCAATCGCAGCAGTACTCGCAACCACATCACTTCCCATCCAGATGATTCCCCAAGAAAAATGTATAATATTTATTTCACGAATCAATCAATATTTAATAGAAAAGATTTTGACAATGGCACTGTGTTCAATGTTCATACCTGCCCCAAATGCTTGCTCACAAGAAGGATAGATGTCCCAATCTTTTTTTTTTTTTAAAGATTTGCACCTGCGCTAACATCTGTTACCAATCTTTTTCTTTTTTTCTTCTTTTTCTTCTCCCCAAAGTTCCCCAGTGCATAGTTGTATATTCTAGTTGTGAGTGCCTCTGGTTGTGCTATGTGGGACGCTGCCTCAGAGTGGCCTGACGAGCGGTGCCATGTCTGTGCCCAGGAACTGAACCAGAGAAACCCTGGGCCGCCGAAGCGGAGTGTATGAATTTAACCACTCGGCCATGGGGTGGCCCCCCAATATTTTTTATAATTCATTTTCTCATTGCCCCAAATAATTTGCTATCATACCAGGTAGACAGGAAACTTAGTAGCAGCCATCTCCCTACATTTCTATCTAGATCAAGGAAAAAAGAAGAGATGAGCAATCCATGAAAATAACTAGTCTACAAAAATGATTGTTTTTAGGAAAGTTGGGATTATTAAAAAATGGCACAGGACTGGGAGTTAGAAGGTCTGGGAGATAAAAGCTGTGGTCTCGGTTCTGACTAACTCTTTGGCCTCATGTGGGTGACTTCTCACCAGGTCCTCAGCATCCTCATCAGTAAAGGGAAGAGTTTGGACAATCCTGAGTCACCCTCTCTCTCTAAACATTCTCTAACACCCAGTTCATGAGTTTCTTGGCCTTTGGCCAGATTTTGACCACAGATCGTCCTCCAAAGAGGTCAGACAAAGGTTACAAATTCTGAGACAGCAGGAGTTGTTTTTGGCATGTCCAGTAAACCCTTCAAAACACCAAGAGTCCTCAAATTAAGCTACCTTCATAACCCTCTTATTAAATTTAAATATCATCCCTGGTCCTTACTTTCCTATGTTGCTCCACCACCTCCCTCAACCAGGAAAAAAAAAAAAGAAAAAAACTCTGTTTTCTTCTCCTTAGTTCTTGGAAAACGGCATGTAATTACTTTATCTTCTTCCTAGGCAGCATCATGTCACCTGTACAATCAAGAACAGAGAGAGAGAGAGCTCAGATGCCAGGGGTTCCCTAATGGGTATTCTTGCCAAATGCTATCAATCCTATTTTGAAAATTTGTTTTCAACTCAGCCTCTTCTTTTCCATTCTGGAAGTTAGAGCCCAGTTAGTTCTGACTCAGTATCACCACAGCAATCTCATGCTCCTAATTCCATGCTTTACCCTTCAAACCTGCCCTCTCCATCAATTATATCCTTGACAGTAAAGATTAAATATCTTCTATTAATTTTATTTTGCCGGAACTCCCATTCTCAGAGGCTTTAGTGACTGAGGACTTGAAGTCCTACTTGTGGCCCCATCATGACACTGATTTTCTGGGACAGCCAGCTCCTAATCACACAGCCCTCATGGCCATCCTTGTATTCATGTCTCACTATTTTTAAGGACAGTCCCCTCCCTTCTTCTTCTGCTCCTTGTCAATCCAGACTACCCCCAGACACTCCAGTGAAGCCTTACAATTTATCCAGCTTTAGAGGCTTCACGTTCTTTTCATTTATGCTTCTACTTATTTTTCACTTTGATGTGAATTCTTTCCTCCCTAGTTGGGTCTTCTCTACACTAAATCTACACAGTACCTTCTCTTTTCTGAAGTATACATTTTGGGTCTTTAATGAATCATTTTTCAGCTAAATAACACTTTAATTCCCTGACGTCCAAGAGCTTGGTTACTACAAACTTTTCAAATTTGCTTCCCCTGTAGTCACTCGGAGGGCTCCTAAAACTTCTTTATCCATCCTCTTTACCAAACCTGAGAACGTCCAGTCTAACTGTAATCATGACCTCACTCCTTCAACCCCGGGTGCCAAAGATTGGAGACTCCTCCATTCAAGAAGAGAAGCAGTGGAAGCAGAAGCAGAAGCGGTGGTGGGAACTTCTTTTAGCAGAAGAGAGCAGGTGGCTCCTTCCACTGGATCAGAGTCTGTCACATCGAATCATAAGCAGCTAGATGGAGTATTAAGAAATTCCCACATACCTGCAGATATGCTAGAGAAGGCACCCTCCCCAGATGTGTCTCTGTGTGGAGCTCCAATAGTCATTTCATAATGTAGAGACTTACATGGTGTCAATATCACAGAAATCATATTTTTCTTTCTGTTTCTAGCAGGTGAAGGTAGGTCCTAAATCCTGAATTCTCATGGGGCTGAGCAGTCTCTAGGCTTCTCTGAGTCTGCAGAATTTATCTCTGACCATGTTTCCATAGTGCGCGGCTGGAGATAGAGAACTGTTGACTTCGTAATAGATCATATTATCTGACCCAAGCAAAAGTTACAAAACAGATTTTAAACTCTGAATGGGAAATGATGTTGTGTGTTATTACTCTTTTCTTCACTGAAGGAAGTTTTTCCCAGTGGAACACTTCCAAGTTGGTAGTTAGGAAATGGTCCTCCCCTGACTTATCTTAGTTCTTTCTTTATCCTCTGTTAGATAGTACCAAGGAGTAGAGATATTTAGGCCAAACATTTAATATTCGTCTTGTGCATCATCCAAACGTTTTCTACTGGCATGGGAAAGGAATCATTCTTTTAATCAACATCACTATGGATACCATATGCAATTCTATACCTTGTTATTCCGGGAGTCAGAACACAGGATAAGTAAAAACATACTTTTCACGAAGATTTACACCTATATATCTACAACCACAAAAGTGATTGCTAGACTTTGAATTGAAAATTTGAAGAACATGTGCCTAGTTTTAGCAGGCTGGCTTGGAAATGGGTGAGAAGGCAGATGGTTGGGGGGATATGAGGTGTTAGAGGAATGAGATGTGAACATTGATGAGCACAAGTCGCAGCGCAGACGTAGCAGGAGGGAGATGGAGCTGAGGGCTGGCTGGAGAAGCTCTTGTGGGGAAAGAGGCTGAGTGAGAGGGAGAAGTAATAATCCAGAGAGGACTCTCTCCGAGCTTAGGGAGACGAAGCTAGGACAAGAAAGACAAAAAGGAGATATATTTTTGTTATTGACTAAATGCTGCCCCAGTGGGACCAGGCTTTAGAAATACACATGGAGTCATCTCATGATATTCTTTTGTTACAAAATGATCAGGGACAACATGCAAGACAGACAGACCTTATATATGTTATATACTAGGTTGTATATGATTTACATGTTATAAATTATAACAAATTTCTTTGTGGATAAAACCAAGGAGGTAGGCTAAGCAGCTTTCAACAATAAAATCTCCTTAAAAAAAATCTGGTCCACAGCATAGAGTATTAAAGGAAGGTTTTGATGTCATTCTGTCTAAGGCACCATCATAAGGTCACTTGGCCAGACTGGAATTTTCAGCTTATAAACTATCCTTAGGAGGAAAAGGATTTATGGTCTCAGGCCCTGACAAAAGGTTGCCTGAACCCCAATACGCATCCCTCAGGAATGTAAGGACAGGGGTAATGGGCCACAGGTAAGCTGACTACCTCTCTGGCCACACCTACATATAAGAGGCCCTCCATTTTGGCCTGGAGGCACTGAGCCTTTTTCTGTGCCTGATCTATCTTGTGGGTTGGGTTTCTCTCCCTGGTGGACTTGTGTCCTGGTGTCAGCATCCTTGTGTCTTATGAAAAAAAGGAAATATTAAGTACTTAAGTGGCAGCTTTTTTTAAGGAGCCTATATTGGAACCCCCTGACAGCCCCATTCTTCCTATCAGGGTGGAAAGAATCTGGGGTATCCCTAGATGCTCAGACATGGTAAGCCTAGCTTTCAATGATCTGCCAGAGCCTGCCTCCCCCATCTGCTTCCATCATTGTTTGAAATCAATGTTCCACTAATTCTGCCCACAAAATAGAAATGGAATCTTTCTTGGTGGGTATCTGGTGCAAAGAACTGACTCACTGCTTGTCCAACAACCTGTTCCATGACACACAAAAGCTAGCACAGGACGGGGAGTGAGACAGTGACAAGTCAGGTGGGGTGGCCCTCCGAATCTCTGCAGAGCTTTGGAGCCACAGCATCTTCTTGAAGGCCAGCAGGACCTTCCTGAAAGCCTGTCAGCAGCAGTCTCCTTAGTACACAGGGCCAGCTCCCTGCATCTATGTGCCCCTGGAAAATGTCACACACTTTCCAAGTTTACATTTGATTCCTGGGATCACTCCTTATTACTGTCCTTCTCACTCAGCTCTTCATTTTTACCCACTGACGTGACACATGAGGAGGCAGAAAGTGGGTAGACATTCAGCAATCAGTGGCCATCACTACCAACATCTTTCTTAGCCCAGCAGCTGACTTAGGAGAACACCGCATTGGATAAGGATGCCTGTAGACATAATTATCCAAACTGGGAGGAGCCCAGGGTCCTATGGTATCCGGGGCCTTGTCCTCAGCTCGGCAGCATCAGTCTCTCTGGGGCACAGGTTAGAAGGGCCAAATTCCAAGATGTACTCCAGATCTGCTGAATGAGAATCTACATTTTAACAAGCTCCTCACTTTAACGAGATCTGCAGGCACATACCCGTTTAAGAAGCGCTGCTCTGTGACAGCGGCTCTTGACCCCGACTGCAAATTAAAATAACTGGGAAGCTTTAAAAAATATCCATGCTGAGTTCCCATCTCCAGAGATGGATGTAATTGGTCTGGGGTGGACCCAGGAATTAGTATTTTTAAAACCCCCTTATTATATGCAGTCAAGGTTGAGAACTACCGTTAGAGAGATACCTGCATATTAGATGGGTCTTGACTGATAAGTCTTGACCATTCAGTACTTGCCTGGTGACTCTCAACTAGGCCACACTGTGTCTCAGGATTTCAGAAGCAGAGATTTTAATTAATTCTAGCCTCAAGTAGCCTGACCTCCTATTTCACTCTGCTAAATTCTTCAGGAACTGTACCATATCTGTCACCTTGCATTTAGTTAGCTGGTTGTTACTTTTAATCGCCTTCAGCTGGAGAAACTGGTAATTTATGTGTAAAATTGTAGGAGAGGATTGGAATATCCATGTAGGAAAAAAGGTTACTGATTTTTGCTGGGGTGGAATGAGATTAAGAGCAATAGTGACTGACCCTATGTGCTAGGCCCAATGCTTGGCACTTGACACTTCTCAAGTCATTTATGGTCCTCAAGGATCCTAGGCGGGGGGTACTAATATCATCTCCATGATCCACAAGGGAAAACTGGAACACAAAGACATTGAGTGCCTTGCCCAGTGTCACAGGTCTACCAGTGGTAAGACCAGGGTAGGAACCAGGCAGCCTGCACAGACCTTTTCTAACCACTGCCTCTCGCCGCATCACCAAAACACTCTTTTGAATTTCTTCTCTCATCCAAGGAAGCTCAGGCTGTGGAAGCAGGTGAGAAAGGAGGATTCGCCCTGGATTTGGACAGAGTAGACAGCTACTTACGTGTTTCCATAGGTCCAGAACAGAAGGTTTGGAGAGGAACTCAGAGGAAACACACAATAGATAGTTCCAGCCCAGACAATTCTAAACTATATACACCTGGCACAGCAGGCATTGACCAGGACTGTTCCTAGCAAACTGAGATGTGTGGTCTCCGTACTTAAAGGTCATCCTGTCACTGAGGAGTTGAAGTGGATTGACACAGGTTACATGCTTGGTTTGTGGCCTGGTAAGGGACATACCCTAGTTTTCTTGATTCCTATTCTAACCTCTTCCCCCTGTTTTGTCTTGCCTGCCCTAACATACATCTCTTTTTCAACAGCTCTCCAATAAGTGTACCACAGCGTCACCCTCCTACGCTCCTCAAACTCCCTGTCCAATAGTTTAATCTCCAACCATCAGAGTCACTCCTTGACCGCTGTCTCCAGAACCCCTTTGCACAAAGTCCCATTTAATACCTGGAGAGAAGAGACCTTGGATATCCTGTCTGGAGTGATTGATCCATTGGGTAAGCTAATGGAAATGGGGGATTCAAAGATGGATAAGACACACACCTAACCCTTAAAAAACTCAGGATCTAGTGTAAAAACAAATCTCTGGGCCGAGGGAAGGCTTCCTGGAAGAGGTGAGTTGAAATAAATGAGTGAGTGTAAGACAGCCAAAGACCAGGAGACATGAGAGACAGAAGCCCATGGAGGTGAGAAACTTTAATGTGTAGGGAAAATAAGCAGTTTGGTGCTACTGGGGCGTACATTTAGAAGAAGGTGAGCCAGAGCCAAGCCAGAGACTGGCTCACAGACCCTGTGTGTCATTCCAAGGTCTTGGATTTTCCTCTGTAAGCTGAGGGGAGAGTTGAAGTGTTTTAAGCAGAACAGGACACAGGGAAATGTGTTCACATACATAGTGCTGCTTAATTTTACCCAATTTAAAAGTGCTCACTGCCACTGGAATTTTAAGTGACCTAATTTCTCTTTTAATTCTTTTTTTTTTTTTTTTGAGGAAGATTAGCCCTGAGCTAACATTTGCCACCAATCCTCCTCTTTTTGTTGAGGAAGACTGGCCCTGAGCTAACCTCTGTGCCCATCTTCCTCTACTTCATATGTGGGACGCCTACCACAACATGGCTTGACAAGCAATGTGTAGGTCTGCACCCAGGATCCGAACCGGTGAACCCCGTGCCACCAAAGTGGAACGTGAAAACTTAACTGCTGCACCACCGGGTTGGCCCCCATCTCTTTTAATTCTTATTCAACCATTTGTAATAATGATCTGTTCAGAATATAGCACATTTATGATCCTATTCTGATTCTATATAGGACTTTTTACCCATTCTATTCTTAAGGAGCTAAAAATCTAGGGAGAGGACAGAGACATATAGCCACTTACAATAGTCTCCATCACTCACATGGACATTCATAGATGCATGATGTAATGAGGATCCACATGTTGGTGCCAGCCTGTTTGCTCATTGGGACCTAACTGTAGTGAAAAGTCGGATATAATACTCAGACAATGAAGCTTATTAGAAAGAGCTTTGTGTTGAAAACAGTGACCTCAATCATATTAAATATAGTGAAAAATTTGATTTTTAGTTCAATGGATGCTTAAAAATTGCTGTAGAGTAACAATTTAAAAATGAATCATTATTGAACTCAATGCAATTGATTTAAAAAGTTATTGTTCTCTAAGATCTGAGTAATCAAGTTTTTCTCTCCATTCCTTATATCTGCCAAATTTCAAGTGGATTAGTTTCTTTCTTTGTTTCTTTTTTATATAGATTTGGGGAAGGCATCAAAAATCTTTACCCAGAACTTCAAGGAGCCAAAACTAGTTAGAATTAGTTGTCAACACATCTGAAATGTCAACACATATTTTTTTCTGGATAATTTCCTGTGATTTAGAACACTGATTTGGGGAGCAATTTTTAGTATTCCATTTTTCAAGTGTTTGCTTTCAAGAAGGATATTGCCTTTGAGATTTTCTTAACCCATTAAATTCTCCAAGAGTAGAAAACATGTGAAAAAGCCAACTTGCATGCTTATTTTTCCAGGGTCTCAGTCTCGTCTCAGAAATACACACTCTTGTACTGAACCTTCTGAAACTGTCAGGTTTTTGCATACACAGGCTTATGTTTTCACACCAGTTCATAAATTGGGTGGAAGATGTCACTTCTGCCATTTCTATTTTGATAGAACAGAATGGCATGTGGGCGTGTGATGTGGGGGACTGTATGTGACTCTTGCCTTCCTTATATACAAAATCAGGGTAGAGTTCCCGTACTTCTCCTTGGAGAGGGAAAAATATCACGGGCCTGTTGCAACCTGACCTTTGTTAATTTTCCAACAAAATAATATTCTAGGGGTGGAGGAAGCAGGAGGAGAATAAAATCTTCCATTTTTAAATCGATTAAGTTAAAAGGATTTTTTTCTCATAAAGAAGCAACATGGTTCTACTCACCTATGATTAGAAAGCTTAGCTTACTGACATAACTCATATTGCCCAAGACCCTGTTTAAATGAGAATTCTGGCCTCAAGTACAGGATGTGATTTTTACCTGATAAATGTTTTACTAAAGGTTGAGAAGCAACCTAACAGGAGAGGAATGGGAAATCAACCGAAAGCACTGCCGAGGTTAGAAGAGCTAAGAAGGTCAGCTGGACCCACATCGTTCAAAAAGGAAACCTTGACATTTTGGCAGCTTGTGTCCCTCAAGCCCTCAGTTTTAGGGACGGAGATCCTGAGTCCATTTTTTCACGCTGGGGGTGGTGACACCTTGCTCTCTGGGTCCTGAGCTCTCTGAACAAGATGATTTTTAGCCTTAAAGTTAGAGGAGGTATAGTTTTGGGGAGGAGGGGTGATAATTTGATGGGGTCCTTCGGTAAAGTGCAAACTTCCTCTACGTTTTTCCTTTGCCTACTTTGGTAGGACCCATATGAGTCCTTTGGACAAAGGCATCAAGCCTCCCTGCCTTCTGCTTTGGACTAGTTTCTCCTTCTGTTTCCAGGAGGAATGGAGAGAGGGTAAGGAGGAAGTGTCTCTGTAAATAAAAGAGAAATAAACTGACCCCATTTCCAGTGGTTGAGCTTCTCTCCAAGTAAGTAGATGCCGATGATAAGGATGTAGCTGAGAGAGAAGAAAGCTGCTAGACCCACTGGGCTGAGTTTGGCAAACACAGGATACACCCACGTACCCGTCTCAGAGTAGATCCATAGAACCCTGCAGACAATGACAAGTCACAATGATTAGGAGAGCAAGGGAATAAAAGCTATTTCCAACTCAAGATCAATGGGGTTCTGAAGCCCAGGCAGATAAAAAGAAGCCATGGGGGACGTTTGTCAACAGCTGAGATGTTCCACAAACCTACAGAAGTGAGTCTTTTGTAGATAAACAGGCTTGATTCAAAGAGACATCCTGTTTCATGGGCTGGGCTTGGCTGTTTTACCCAATCCGTTAAAATTCAATGTTAGTGAAAGAATCTGGAAGAACATCGAATACGTCATTAGCCAAAGAAAGTGTGTAAGAACATGAATTATTCCTTTCCCTCAGAGATATGACCTGCTGAGACACTGAACCTGTTGATAAGGTGTCCATTTGCTAGCTCTCAGCCAGACAAGCGAGGTTAGCTTTTCTGAGCTAAGAGTCAGGTGTAGCTTTCCATTGGTTGGGGTATGGGGGGCAGAGATCAAGCATTATTGCTGCAATACAGTGCGCCTGGGTTTAATTGTTGGCCTGAGTTTAGTTCATGGATATAGCCATGGAGAGAGTGGAATGGATGGATTTACAGGAGGCTCAGATCTTGCTCATGTGAGGATAGAATATGTCATTTCTGTAAGCCAAGAAAAGGAAAAGAAATGCTAAGAGAGGAGCCACGATGTCTAAGTGAGGCCTAAAAATGCAGTTTGCTGGAAACCAACTGCGCTGGAAGATGCCAAAGTCTGAAATAACTTTTCAAATTAAATACGGGGAGGATGATGTATCAGCTACAGTTTATAACTGGTTAAGAGTGCAGAATGTGGAACCAGGCTTCTGTGATTCAAATCCTAGTTCTGCCGCCTATTAGCTATGTTGCCTTCAACGATTTATTCAACTTTTCTGTCCCCTTGCCCTCATGGACAAAGTGGATGTGCAAACAGTATGCACCTTAGAAGGCTATTGTAAAGATGAAGGGAGTTAACACGTGTACATTACATAGAACAGTGCCTGGCACATCATAATCATTTAATGGATTTAAAAGCTTCTCTCTTCTGAGGGATGGCACAGTGGGAGTCTTCTCACTGCTCATCTTTGCAACAACCTAGGATAGGCTAAGTTGTGCTTTAGAAACAACGTTCAAATTTGGATACTGCAGGCAGTCAAAAGAGTTCAGACGGAAGAATAAAATTCTGTGCTTAACTAAACTCTCAGAAACCCAAGTGTGATCTTGGTTGTTTCAAATATTTTATTTCAAGTTTGTCAAATACTTTGTGGAAGAGACAAGGGCTAATATCAGGGCCAGGACTAGGGTGAGGCAAAGGAGTCACCTACAGCATAAAATTTAAGGGGCCATCTCTGTGCATCAAAGGATACAATCAATAGAGTGAAAAGGCAACTTACGGAATGAGAAAAATATTTGCAAATCATATATCTGATAAGGGATTATTATCCAGAATATATAAAGAACTCCTAGAAGTCAACAACAAAAAACCAAACAACTCAATTAAAAACAGACAAAAGACTTGAATAGACATTTCCACAAAGAAGATATACAAATGGCCAAGAAACACATGAAAAGATACTCAATGTTACTAATCATTCGGGAAATGCAAATCAAAACTACAGTGAGATACCACTTCATACCCAATAGGATGGCTACTATCAAAAGACCCCAGAAAATATTGAGTGTTGGAGAGGATGTGGAGAAATTGAAACACTTGTGCACTGGTGGTGGGAAAGTAAAATGGTATAACTGATATGGAAAATAATATGGCAGTTCTTTGAAAAATTAAACATAGAATTACTATATGATCCAGCAATTTCACTTCTGGATATACACCCAAAGGAATTGAAAATAAAGACTCAAGGAGATATTTGTACACCATGTTTATAGTAGCATTATTCACAAGAGCTAAAACATGGAAGCAACTAGAGTGTCCCTTTACAGATGAGGGGATAAATAAAATGTGGTATATACATGCAACAGAATATTATTCAGTCTTAAAAAGGAAGGAAATTCTGACACATGTTATAACATGAATGAACCTTGAGGATATTATGCTAAGTGAAAGAAGCCAGTCACAAAAGGACAAATATTATATGATTCCACTTATATGGGGTACCTAGAGTCACCAAATTCATAAAGACACAAAGTAGATTTGTGGTTGCCAGGGGTTAGGGGAGGGGAGAATGGGAAGTTACCGTTTAAGGGGGACAGACTTACAGTTTGAGAAGAAAACAGTTCTGGAGATGAATAGTGGTGATGGCTGCACAAAAATGTGAATGTACTTAATGCCGATGAACTATATATTTAAAAATGGAGGCACCACTCTTAGCTTTGCAAGTATGGAGTTTGCACTTGGTCTCTAGTCCTGACCACACCAGTATTACTCTGCTCTCCCAAACTTGTCTAGATGCGCCTTTTATGTAATCAAATTTTACTAGATTGAAACAAATAATAAGAATTATCATTATTACTAATATTGGAATTACGTGGATGTGCATCCCATGGATGCATTTTAGAAAGACACCCACAGCACTTCTTTCCTGCATGGCTGCTTCTCATGACAGGACAGAGAAGGTGTAAGGGACAGAAGGTAAATATCCCCAAGGAGCTAGGGCTAGGAGTTTGGGGTCAGAGAGGAGATCTGGATATACTTCAGGTGGGTTGCATTAGTTAGTTCAATTTGTTTACCTTATATACTCGAAATTAGGGCTTCCTAGTTCCCATGCACATTTATATAAGATAGTCTACAAATAAGGACATGCTCCTAGAGGCCTGGAAAGTTTCGGTTTATTTACTTCATTTTTGTTTCCTTCAGCATAAGGTTTGTAAAGGAAAGTTCCAGAGGTAAGCTAATGAAGTCTGTACTTTCACAGAGAAAGTGCAAAGGAAGTTATAGGTGTGTTGAACGGACAATGGGAAAAGCAATGAAAATACAAATGGAGTGTTTGGCAAGATTGTAGTCATTTAATGAAGGGCGGTCAGCAGAGAGGCCTGAGTGAGGAGATAGTCACACTCAGCTGGTATCACTTCTTTGTGGCTTGCCTGAATATGTGTTAACGGGAAAGACAGAGAGAAAAGGAGGAGGAGGAGGAGAGGGAGGGAAGGGGGGAGGAAAGAAGTCAGCATGTTGGAAACGGAATTTGTTTCTCTCCTGTATCTCAGTCAATGTCAGCTCTTCACTCGCCCTGGCCCCCATGAAATCATATCTCAATGCTTCTCCACTGCCTCATTTCATGATCTCAGGCCGGGCTCCTTCACCTCATCTGGGTTTCTGTAATTGTCTACTCACCGGGCTTTCTTGCTCCCTTCAATCCACTTTGCATACCACAGGCCACCAGTAATCCGATGACCTTTCTAAAAGAGAAATGTGTCCATGGTGTTCCTGTGCTTGCAGTGGACCCCTGTTGCTTTAGGAAAATAGCCAAGCTCCTTCACCAGCCTGCCTGGCCTTGCCCTGCCCACCCGTCCACCCATCCACCCTCCGATCTGCCATCTGTCCATACTGGACCCCTTTCTGTTTCTTCAATGAACCAAGCTCAGTAGCTTCCGGGCCTTCATCCATGCTCTTGTCTCTGCTTGGAACCTCTGACCTTTTTGCTTCCTAGGATATACTTGCTCTGGGCCTGGGTCAATTTTGCTCATGCTCGAGTTTCAGCTTCAAAGTCAATTTCTCTAGAAAAGATTTTTCTGAACATCCTTCAACCCCCATTCAGTAAGGTTCTTATGCCCTGCGCTTCCCCTACCAGGAACTAACACCCCTGTTACTTATTTGATTGTCTTTCTAACTAGCCTGGAAGCTCAATAGGACCGGGGACTGTACCTGTCATGCACATCCATTTTCCAAGTGCCAGTACACAGCAAGTTGTTCCTATTTTTAAATTAATGGCTGTTTGGGGTGGCTCTACCAGCCCCATGGTTCCCCTTAACTGCTGCTCACGGCAGTTGCTGTGGACAGTGCTCAGCTGCCTGACCCACCGAGAGCACCACAGCCTCTCAACACTGGGAAATGGACCCAGCAGCTTTCCCAATTTTGCTTACTCTGATGCTCACTTTATTAGTACTGGAAGAAGCCGATGATTCTCACCTTCAGTTCAGAGATCAATATTCTATGTCCTTCTGGAGCTGTCTGCTGTGTGAATCTATGTGAGTCAGGCTGGGCAGGCACAAATTGATACCAAAAAGTAATCTTTTATAGTCTCCTCATCCTAAATCTTGCAGCGTCAAATGACTATCATGAAATTTGTGTTTTCTACGTCTTATCAGTAGGAAGTCTGTGGGTTAGAGATTAGTAGATAACTGGGGGTTTTCTGGGCTCTAGGCATATAATTATTAGTGTTAACCCTTGTGTCTGACCTTTCTGACCCATCAGAATAACTCAAATAAAAGGAGTGAAAAAAATCTGTGACACTAGAGCGTTAGACAAATAGTTTACGTGGACGTTGAAAATATTGGCAATAATGAGAATTGTTGGGGTGGCAAGCTCTTCATGGATTAAAAACTGTTGCCCACACCTCCCTGGAACCCCCACTCCTGGCTCGAAGCTTCCTCCTCCCTTCAAGGACCAGGGTGTTCTTGTACATTCCTGGTTTTCTGCCGTCTGATCATTCTTCGCTACTTTGCTGTCCCCTTCCCCCTCCTGTCCCTTAGATGAGGGCGTTTCCCCAGCATTCACGCTCCACTTCTCCCCTCTCCCCTCTCTCTCTCTCCAGCGTCTCCTCCCACCCGGAGGGTTCGCTCCCTGGATCTCCACAGCCCCTCTTCTCTTGAGAAGGCCCAGTCTGACTTCCAAACGAAAGTTCCTGTAAGCAGAGGTTCTCCACCTTGGCTGAAAATTAGAACTGCCTAGGGGGGTCTGTAAAAATGCAATGCCCAGGGCACATCCTAAACCAATTAAACCCGGATCTTTTGGAATGGGACCCAGATGGGGATTTAAACTGACTTTTTTACTTATATCCCAAACTATTTCTTTCCTAACTTCTCTACATCTATTATTGGAATCACTGTCTTCCCAGTCTAC